AAAAAAAAAAAAAGTCCTCTTTTGTGGGAAAAGGTGGTCCTCAACTTTTTTCATGTTTGCTTTAGCATGGAAGGTGCCACCCTGGACTTGCTTTGTTTCTTTCCTACAGGTGAATTCATCATTGGCCGTGTCATCAAAGCCATGAACAACAGCTGGCATCCTGAGTGCTTCTGCTGTGATCTCTGCCAGGAGGTACTGGCAGACATCGGCTTCGTGAAGAATGCTGGCAGGTGGGAGTTCGGAGTGTGCCTTCCGTTGGGGATGTGGGTGGCTGAAGTGGCTGTTACAAGCCATTTTCCCTGTGCGGGGAGGGAACTCAGTGCCCTGGGAAGCATCCCTGGCCCCTTGCAACCCCTGAGGGTCCTGGGCATAGAGGGATTGTGTTGAACATCAGTCAAGTAGCTTGAGTCACTGTTAAGCACAGAGGAGTTTTTTTTTTTAAGTCATAGTTTCCTTAAATTATTTTTAGAGATGAGAAACATGTTTCTTTTTAATGATTAGGATTTAAGACTGAATTCCCATTTTGCCCTGCTTAGACACTTGTGTCGCCCCTGTCATAATCGAGAGAAAGCCCGAGGCCTGGGGAAGTACATCTGCCAGAAGTGCCATGCCATCATCGATGAACAGCCCCTGGTCTTCAAGAACGACCCCTACCATCCCGACCACTTCAACTGTGCCAACTGCGGGTACCACATCCACTCCCTGTCACCGCATGGATACAGGGTTTCTGTTACTCCAGAAGAGCAAATTCTCTGCAGCATTCAGGGTGGAAAATTGTAGACCTGATTAAAGTCAGGAGAGTGCTAGGGTGAACAGCTGTGTCCCAGACTAGAGCACTCCCCACCCAGCAACTTAGGGTGGCCGTGTTAATTGCTATCACCCCTCCCCTCACCCTGAGAGTGTGTGTGCACAGACACATGTCCACATGTGCTTGCATGCATGGTTAGTACGTGCAATAGTGTTAACATCATTTTCCACAGGACAGGTTAAAAACAAGTTGTAGACATTGTGACTCTGTGTGCATCTCCTGAGAATGAAGTCATTTTCCCACAGAACAACAATATTCTTTTCAGGGCTAAGAATATTACCAATAATTTTACATCAGATAGGAAGTGCATATTAAAATAGCCCCAGTTACCCTAGAACTATTTTTTAATCACAGTTTTTCCAACATAGGATCCCCAAAAATCTTATTTACAAATACAACTTTTACAGTTGTGATAATTTGGAGTGTTATCTTAAAATATGCTAAATCACATTCATTTACTTTCACTTTGATTACATAGTTTTTTGGTCTTCAGAAAGTCTAAATGAATTGTTAGGCTGTTGTGAGGCTATATGAGTTTTATGGGGGTTTTGTTTTCATTATTTTGTTTTGTTTTGTTTTGAGTGAGTCTAGAAAAGTATTTAAACCAAGTGAAATCCAAACAAGTACATCTGGCTAATTGGGGCCATCTCTCACTAAATGTTTACTGACACAAAATAATAGGTAACTTAAGCATCTGGGGGGGGCAGGATTCTGGGCATTTCATTGTTTTTTTTCTGTTAACCTAATTTTATAATAAGCTAGGCTCACAATAGCTTGTGATGGTTTCAGTAATTGTTAGCAAACTGGTCTCCAAGATCCTCAAGGTTGGAAGGGCAGTACTGAGGCCACCCTTGGCACTGTGACTTCTGAGGGTGGCCATGGGCCAGGATGTGTTGTGATAAGGTGAGCAGCGATGCTGGCTGTGGCTGCTGTGGCACATGTGCCTGGCCTCTTGTGGTTTGCCTTCATCATGAGAGACTGGAGTCCCCCTCAGGCCTGTACCTTTGTTACTCTGGTCACCTCTAGAGCAGGTGGAAGAAGTCACACCTGTTATAGTAACCTCTTCCAGACCTGCAAACACGCTGTCCATGCTGGCCACCACTCCTCTTGGCAGGGCTGCTCAGCAGCCTCCTTCTTTTTCACAGGAAGGAGCTGACTGCCGATGCCAGGGAGCTGAAGGGGGAGCTCTACTGCCTGCCATGCCATGACAAGATGGGAGTGCCCATCTGTGGGGCCTGCCGCCGGCCCATTGAGGGCCGTGTGGTGAATGCTATGGGCAAGCAGTGGCATGTAGAGGTGAGTGCTTGAGAGGTGGCTGACGTACGTGTTAAGAATGTAGAATAGCGCTGCTGGTTTTGTCAGTAAGGATGTGGATGTGCCTTTGTTCTTCAGTCTCCTTGCTGCAAGATGTGCCATGATTCAGGCCCAGCAGCACCCCCTGGTGATGAGGACTCCCCAGGTGCCCAGCTGCACTCTCAGCAGTGTTGTCAAAAAGGGCCCACACCCTTACACAACCTAGCAAAGACTCATCATGTATCTTCTCTGAAGAGAGCAACTTGGGGCTTACTTTAGTAGATGGATAAAATATGGCACTTAATAAATGACTTTATCAATTTTTTTCCAGCATTTTGTTTGTGCCAAGTGTGAGAAGCCTTTTCTTGGACATCGCCATTATGAGAGGAAGGGCCTGGCATACTGTGAGACTCACTATAACCAGGTACAAACTATACCCGGGGGACACCAGGGTTACATTTATGGATTTTTAGCTACCAGGACACTTGTTGGAAAATGTACATTAGTTTACATAAATTTGTTTTTAACTTTTTGAGAAATAATTTCAGACTCAGAAAAGTTGTGAAATAAAAATATAAAGAATCCCCATGTATCTCACATTCACCATTTCCTGTGTCATTTGCACGTATTGGATCTTGCTGTGCAAATCACAACCTTACATAAACATAGACATCTTAATCTGCAAATACTTGGATGCATGGATGCAAAACACACATCTTTTTTTTTTTTTTTTTTTGTACCAGGAATCGAACTGGGGTCCTTGCGCTTGCACAGCAGGCGGCAAAACCACTGAGCTAAATCCCCGGCCCCATATAATGAGCATTTGACAATAAGCTCATTATATCTTCACTCCTGAAAATTTTCATGTCTATTTCTGAAGAATAAGAGCTCTCTTACGTAACTATGGGCATTGATGCTGTGACAGTACTTTAAATCCATTTACTTTAGTTTCATCAGTTGGCCAAATAATGTCTGCATAGCAATTTTTTCTACTCCAAGCCTGGATCCAGCCTAGGCTCTCAGGTTCCTTCAGCCTCCTCAGAGCTGGAGCATTTCCAGGGCTTTAATAAACTGATCCTCATGTGAGCTCACCGGCCACTCCTCGTGCCCAGGGTAACGTGGCTGGAACTTTTAAGCAGCACCTCTCCTCGGAGCACTGGTGATACCAACTGATGTCTGCCCTGGGAGTCACAGTTGCCTGCGTCTGACAGCCAGGCAGTGGGCAGCATCCTGCCCTCTGCCCAGTGCTCACCAGGCACCATGAGCCTCGCCCGCTCTGACTGAAGGCAACCCCTAACTCTGAGTGTTCTAAGTAATAGAAAGGAAATCATTTCCATTTGAAGGAAGCTAGTCAGCGACCTTGCATTCATTTCCTCTAGAAGTGGTACATGGTAAGTTTCCATAGCCATCTCTTCGTCTCTAAGTACCAGAAAGAACTGAAGTGTCCTGAGTGATGAATATTCAAAGTGAATTCCAACACACCTTGACCTTTTGGTATTGCTTTCTTTTCAGCTGTTTGGAGATGTTTGTTTCCACTGCAACCGTGTCATAGAAGGCGATGGTGAGTGTCTGAGTCTCTGTGCAGCACCAGCTTGACACAAACACTCGTGGCCATGTGAACACTGATTAAGGCTGTTGTTGTTGTGTGGGATGAGGTCATTATCGGTTACTTTTTTCTCTCTTTGGCCTGTTTCCCCAGTAAGGGACCACAAGAGAGGTTAGTACCTCAGACTGGGTGTGTGACTCGTGGAGGTGAGTGCTTTAGGCTGCTTCCAGTTTTGTCAGCCGGCCATGGGACAAATTCCCAGTTCCTGAGAACCCTGATGTTTGGGAGCATGTGACGCCCCACAGGAACACCTGGCAGCCCCCGCAGCCTCACCAGGTCCCATGGCCTCCCCACTGGTGGTCAGGCAGGGCTGGCTGGCAGCAGAAAGGAAGCAGCTGTGTTTGTAGAGTCACCAGTACAGGTCTGCCAGGGAATTCCTGACAGTCCTGACCCTCCTAGTTCTTAGTGGACATCATGGGCTCAGCAAAGGTGTTGCAAAAGGGTGTCCCACTCAGTGTGAGAGCTGGCTCAGGAAAGCGATCCAGGGCCATGAGAGTAACCCTGAGCTTGTACTAGGGAGCCAGCTGCCAGGTGGAGGAAGCGCTTCTGCTTCTCTTATTGTCAGTGTTGGCAGAGACATGCCTATAGGCAAAAGGTTCATGTCTGGATTTTTTAAGAAGTATTTATTCTAGGCCAGTGGTGGCAAACCTATAGCACTTGTGCCACAGCAGGCTGATTGTATCATTGAGAGCTCTAAAAGGTTTGCCATCGTGGGCCAGGGATTAAGCTCAGTGGTGCTGCCACCTGCCTTGAAAGTGCAAAGTCCTGAGTTCAGACCCTGTTACCAAAAAAAAAAGAGATTTGCCATCTCTGTCCTAGGCCATCTTTCTTTGATGGACCTAAAGACTGAGCTGTAGGACATGCTCAACAGGATATGAGTGTGAGTGCCACCTCATCCATGGGCTGAGGGGTACAATCTTTGTGTCACAGATTCCTAAGGAAAGGGAAAAGTTACTGTGAAGACCAAAGAGGGCAATAATCTCCCTACATGGAAGACCTCAGTGCTTGTTTTCCATGCTTGTATTAAGAATATGAAAACTGTAGCCTCAATAAGTGAGTAAATGGGTTGAATCTGAGCATTTTAATTAATGGCGCTGAGCTTATCTTCTTTTGAGCGAGAGAGATTCTTGAGCCCTTCCCCTGGGTGCCCTGGGAGCTGCCTTAGTTCACTGCAGAGCTGGGAACTGCAGCTCCCTGCCTCACTGGGTTCCGCGTGTCCCTGTGACCAGTCTCTTTCCTCTCCAGTGGTCTCTGCCCTTAACAAGGCCTGGTGCGTGAACTGCTTCGCCTGCTCCACCTGCCACACCAAGCTGACACTCAAGTAAGTCTGTGCCCTCTGTCCTGGGGATCCCAGGGCTGAGGACTCAGCGACCTTTAATAGTATTAGGATTTTCTTAAAAGAATTATTTGATCCCTTATTTCTTCTTTCTGTTGAAGTCTTCTAAAAGTAAATTTTCTTCCTTTAATTGTTCCCTGTTCTTTCTTCTGTTCCTTCTTTGTCCTGCTCAAAGGGATAAGTTTGTTGAAATTGATCTAAAACCAGTCTGCAAACACTGTTATGAGAAAATGCCAGAAGAATTTAAGAGGCGACTGGCCAAACGGGAGAGAGAAGCAAAGGATAAGGACAAGCAGAAAAAGAAAAAGCCAGTCTGTTTGTAAACTTTTCTGTCCCTTCTATCACCATTTCCACTTTCTTCTTTGGTTAGTCCTTGTAGAGTTTGTTTTTGTTCTGTCTTTTGCTTTTATCTGTTTTCCTTCTTGGCATGCTTTTGTGACCATCAGAGATTGAAATACAGTATTGTCCTCCACAGTGTTGCTTCTTTTGCTGAATTATTAACATTATAAAGCCTAATGAGGCCCACAGCTACTACGAGTTGTGCACACACGTTCCCATTACTTGACGACAAACTTGCCTCTGCTTAAATCAGTGTGGCAGTGAGGTCTTTTCTTTCAATACATAGTGGGTAAGTTTTAAAGTACTTTTGTCTAAGAACTATAGCTCCAAGATCCTGGTCTGTGGTTTGTTTGCCAAAAATCATTTAATTCAGAATTCTAAATGTTTGAAATTTTTTAAAACCACATGTGTTCCAAGTTCTCGGCCACGTTTCATGTCTATGCAGTCTCATTTACATATGAGACACCCACTGTCTGAGGTGTCCCACGTGTGCCTCATTTAATGCCTATACTCCTGTTCCTGAATTCATTTCCCTAACGTCTTCAAGCTCTTTCATTCCTGATTTTTATGGGAAGTATTTCAATCTTTGACATTCTGTTTAATTACTAGCATGGCTGTTTTATTTTTTACCTCATGGTTATTACTGTGTCTGAGCTCTAAAACTCTTTTTTATTATTTCACTTTTCATGTTTCCTTCTGTAGAGGAAGTAAAAGGCAAATATGAATTTAAAATGTTGGAATACTTGCTAAGTAGTCTCTCTAAAAGCAGGAATAACTTATTTAAACTTTCAAAAGATGGCAGCTTCTGCAGCTTTTGTTCTAAGAAGACGTTGGGAGAAATTTTTAACTTAGTGTTGCTATTTAAATAATCAGACTGCCCTGGGAGGCATTTGATTTCCCTGCTGGACTGCAATATCCAAGGGACTGTCAGGACCAGTTTCTCTGTGAAAAACAGCTGGAGAATAATTCTCAGTGGGATATTCTAAAAACAGGAAGTTTTTCATTTTAAATATGTGGTTAGGAATTAACTTTGTTGTTAACATTGCTGTTTAAAATTACCTCAAAGCAAATAATCTAGTGTACTTTAAAATGCATGAAGAATTATGTCAGATTTTATAATTTTCATCAGAGATGACCATGTACCACTAATTTGATCCACAGATGCCTCTTAAATATAATTTCACAGCAACTGAACAAGTTCTAGAGTTATATATATATGTATATACTCAAAAGAGCCTGGATTCCAGTAGTACTAAGTGGCTGCACCTGCCTCCTGGAAATGCATTACCCATGGTCGAGAGACCATGTGAAAGTTGTCCTGTCTGGGACCATGTCTGGTTGTACATGCCTGTAATCCCAGCACTCAGGAGGCTGAGGCAGGAAGATCACCATGAGTTTGAGGCCAGCCTGAACCATATAATGAGACCCTGTCTCAAAAAAGGGGTGGGGGCTGGGGATTTAGCTCAGTGGTTCCACCTCCTGCCTCACAAGTGCAAGGTCCCAAGTTTGATCCCCAGCACCAAAAAAAAAAAGTTGTCCTGTCCAGGACTGTTTACAAATACATTCATAATATGTTTTGCCTGAGATTTTAAAAGAAGAATCAAGTTCTGCGCATAGCTAGCAGTTGTAAAATACCTCTATCTCCCTTACCAACCTTTGTGTGAAGGTTTATGATTTAAGATAATATTTTAAAAGATGTAATGTGGACTGAGAGTGTAGCTTAGTGGTAGAGCACTTGCCTGGTGTGCCACACCTGGGTAGAACCCCAGCACCACGAGGGGCAGGGCAGTGTTTAACACTCTTCAGTGGCACATTCAAGACTGTCCCGTTAGGCAGCTGTGCCACCGGTGGTTCAGAGCCACTTGGCAGAGAGACATGCAAATCATGGCTCTATCGTGAACATGTTAAGGTGTGTTTCTGTTTTGTTTGTGTTTAGGGGATAAAAGAAAAACCATTTTATACTGGAAAAGATGAAACCTTATAGCTACCTAAATTTAAAATACTAAGATCATTTTGCCTCCAATAAACCATTCACATTACAGAAAATAATTTCTTACTTTAAGTCATTTAAGGTATTCTCATGTATTTTACCATTTCTTTTTTTTTTTGGTACCAGGGATTGAACTTGGGTCCTTGCACTTGTGCAGCAGGCGGCAAAACCACTGAGCTAAATCCCCGGCCCAGTTCTCATGTATTTTAAAATGTAATTCACTTTACTTACCTAAGTTACATTTACATTAGATTTCCTATTTATTTACCACGGAATGAAATGGAATATACATTCTGTGTTATTCAAAGAGATGTATAGGAACAATTTATATGGACAAGTTTTTCAACTGATACTATGAGTTTGTTACATTTACCTCAAGAATTGAGGTTATGGGCCGGGGATTTATCTCAGTGGTGACGCCACCTGCCTGACGAGTGCAAGGTCCTGAGTCTGTTCCCCGGTACCAAAAAACAAAACAAAGAATTGAGGTTAGAATTACAGTCCTTTACTAACATAAATGTAAATGTCATCATTCATTGTGTTCATATGGTTCAGTAAAATTACTTCATTTTATTTATATGTTTGTGTTGAATACGATTCCACTAAGTTTGTTTTTATAATTATTGTTTTTAGGAATAAATTTGTGGAGTTTGACATGAAGCCCGTCTGTAAGAAGTGCTATGAGAAATTTCCATTGGAGCTAAAGAAAAGACTGAAGAAATTAGCTGAGACCTTAGGAAGGAAATAACTTCTTTATTTTATTTTTCTCTTCTGTGCAAAGATTACCAACATTAACTTCCCTTGAGCCATCCTTATTTAAAGCTGCATCTTAACACAGTTGAGAGTGAGGAAGGTTTTTTTTAATCTCCTTTTTCTCGTTAAGAAAATTAAAAAGGCCCCCAAAATTAAGAGTCAAGGGCTGGCAATGTAGCTCAGTGTCACTGCGCCTGCCTCACAGTGCAAGGTCCTGAGTTCGATCCCCTGTACCAAAAAAAAAATTTTTTTAAAGAATCAGCTATTACCTTACTCATTTTTTTCTGAAGTGTAAACATTATTTTACTTTGTATTCAAAAGAAAATTATTCCTCATTGCTGTTGGAGAAGATACAGGGGATAAAAACAAATCATACGCAGTCTTAGTATGTTTATCCAACTAGTAGTTATAAAATGAATATACACGTCACTACAAAATAAGTGTATTCAGAACTACTTGATTTTATTTTTTTGTTAAATGCAGTAGTTATTGTGCTTAGTTTTTATTGTGTTCGCTTTGTGAACTTCTTCCTTTGTACAATTACTGAACACAGTAATGGTAACTAATAGTATATCTTTTTCAATTTTGTTCAAAACATACTGAGTATCTAAAAATGCAGCATTCTTTTACATTATTGGGAAAATGAAGTATTTTTTTTAACTATAATACAGCAACTGTGCTTCTAATCTTAATGTTAAACATGTGGTCTTTGAATGGGACATGAAATTAAATTTTATCTAGCTTGGAATGTATCACTTTAAAAAGTGGATTTATATATATTGGTCATACTGCCTTTATAACTGTGCTAATATCTATGCTTTGTACATAATCAGACTTGCCTTAGAAAAATACATACCTTATTCAGGAATTCTGGCTGTTTCACATACTGAGTACAAAGAATTGCATTGACTGAAATTGGTAAAGTCAAATTCATTTACTATAGATTAATTAAATTTAAAAACACTTTTTACCTTGTTGAGAAGCCTATTGAAATTAATTCCTATAGGGCTGGAGATGTAGCTCAGTGGCACCACACCTGCTTGGCAAGCGCAAGGCCCTGAGTTCAATCCCCAATACCAAGGGGGGAAAAAAATTAATTCCTGTCTTAGAAGACAATGTTTTGATACGTGTTTGAAGTTTTCCTTTTCAGATCTCATAATTAATTGGATTTCATTTACTGCAAGTAGGAGGTATAAATGATATCTTTAAATTAGAAAGGGGGGCTGGGGATTTAGCTCAGTGGCACCTTGCTTGCCTTGCAAGCGCAAAGTCCTGAGTTGCATCTCCTATACCACACCCCCAAAAGAAGTTGTTAAGAAATTGTTTTCATATCAATTTTAGGTCAAAATTAGTGGATTTGGGCTGGGGATTTAGCTCAATGGTTCCGCCGCCTGCCTTGCAAGCGCAAGGTCCCAAGTTCAATCCCCGATACCAAAAAAAAATTAGTGGATTACTCTTTTTTTTTTCCGGTACTGGGAATTGAACTCAGAACCTTCCACTTGCAAGGCAGGTGTGGTATCACTGAGCTAAATCCCCAGCAGCCTGGATTAACTTATTTTATTAAAAATTTTATCCTGAAGTACCTGGGCCACTCTTTCTGGATAAACTTGTCACACAAAGCTTTTAAGAACATTTTTTAAACATTACTGCTGCTGTGTTAGCATTTAAAAAGAAAAATGCCAAATAGATTTCTGAGAGGAAAATGATTGGTTTTTTTAAAATTTCTGACATACTGTTTTACCATAAAGAATATCTCAGGATGCTCCAGTAACATACTTCTGTGCATGAATTTTGAATACTTGATCATGCACATTGTAGAATAAATTGTTTCTGTTTTCAGGTAACTTGTAAACAATTTGTTTAATGTTCCTTTAAAGTTAAAAGAATTATCATAAATGATTGAAAATAATCACTGTATAGTTTGAGACTGTCTGTGCTTAGTAGTTGAAAACAGTCTATGCATTGACAATAAGAATCAAAGCCCTTTGGTGTGCCTTCGTCAGCTAGCAGTGACCAGCAAGGAAGACTCTATTAGTACAATCCTGTGCATCCGAGGGGAAAGGGTCTGTAGGCAGGACATGGCTGCTGAGTTTTTGTGCCTCCTATACCAGAGATGTGGAACAGAAAAGCAAGCTCTGCCTGCGCTCTTGTTCCCGAGGCTGCGTGACCTGCAGGACAACTTTCACTTTCGTGACTTGTGGCCAGACCCCTCTTCTAGCCAGAGGCCCCGCAGGGACTCTTTACTATGAATTTATGTTTCCCAGAAGCTCAGCTTGAGAGGATAGGCAACTTAGCTAGAAACACACAGTCCATTCTTATGTGGTGGACACTGCCAAGCCCTCACATGTGGAAGGAGGAAGATGCTGAGAAGTTTAGAATGCAGTGGGAGGGCAGACCCAGTCAGTTTACATTTCCCAGACTTCCCCTGCTGAAGACTGTAGGCAGCAAGCAGCTCTTTGCGCAAAGTCCTACACAGCTATCTGAACTCTCCTATTGCTCTTACAGGTTTCCAAGTGCTCTTTTTCCTCAGCAAGCTTGTGTCATTGGGGAAAACAGGTGCAGCTGAACTCTTCTTTGGGTCATGTTCAAAGCCTTAACATTGCACCTGTTTAGGTCATTTTGGCCCATCCATATTTGCCAAAATAGCCATTTCTAAGTTAAGGAAATGTTGAAATGGGCTGATAGTCCACCACATGTTCCCCTATTGTCAGGGAGCTTATCAATAATTGTTTTCTTTGTAGCAGCCATTGCAGTATACTTTTGGTGCCTAATAAATGTTCATAATTATCAAAAATAAGCTGTTGTGTGTCATTTAATTGGAATGCTCTATTTATATGAAAAATATATATGTAGATGTAAACATTCCTGCAATGCAGTAGAACATTCGTGTACATAAATAAAACAAACGAGCCAGTTCCTAAGTAGGAGTCAGGTCTCAGGCCATCCGAAGTGGTGGTAGTGTCTGTTTTTTGTTTTGTCTTGTTTTGATTTTTCAGGGCTGGAGGGCAGCGCGGGTTTTGAAACGAGGTCTTGCAATGTGGTTCATGCTGGCCTTGAACTCACTGTGTAGTCCAGGCTACCCTCAAACTGCCAGGATCCTCCTGCCTCAGCCTTCTGAGTCCTGGGGTTACAGATGTGTGCCACCACACCTGGTAATTTTCCAGTTCTTGGCACAGGACATAACAAGACTCACATGCCCTGAGAAGTGTGTGCAGTACTGGGAGGGTGCCCATGCCCACCGGACACAGCTCTCATGGAGCTGGGGTAGTCCCTGCACCTGCATGTACAGGCTGGCACCTCCAGGGCTCCCAGGTCCCCCTGCACACTCTTCTCCATCTCCATCCTTCAAGGCACCCAATCTTTGGGGACAGCGGTAACAGCCCATGTTCCAGACTGGGAGCAGCTTGACGGTGCTGTTGTCCCCTCATCATCCCTGCAAACCCTCCCAGTCACAGGAGAGTGGTGCAAGAAGACATGAAACAGGGCCGAGGATTTAGCTCAGTGGTTCTGCCACCTGCCTCGCAAGCAGAAGGCCCTGTGTTGGATCCCCATACCCAAAAAAGGAGACATGACACATTGCATCCCCGTCACAGGCGCTCAGAGCCAGAACGCTGCTCCCTCTGCCCACAGGACAGCCACACAGCCCAGAGGTCATCATCCAGGTCATCCCACCACACCTGTCCCTATGCTCCCTTTACGCTGGGTTGAACTACAGTGAGGGTTTGCTTAACGTGAGCCTGTGGTGTTGTGACAGTGGATCTGACAAACAGGAACGCTAGAAAGATGCATGTTCCATACGGAGGAGTGGTCAGAATGCTGTGGAACTGGAACTCCGGAAGTGCGTATTTCTGGAATTTCGCACTTAGTGTTGGCTGTGGTTGGCCCTGGATAATAGCAAAACTGTGGGGCCGGGGATTTAGCTCAGTGGTTCCACCACCTGCCTCATAAGCACAAGGTCCCGAGTTCGATCCCTGGTACCAAAAGAAAAAAAATAGCAAAACTGTATAGGCAGGGTAGATGGCACCATAGGACCAAATGCCAGAGGAATAGGACACTAGACTGACAGGGATTCAGGGGACCGGAAAGTGAACAATCTGAGAGGCAGGACCTGAGTGTGCCCAGCACATGGACTTGCATCATGTGGCATCCACAGGGTCCCTATCCTGACACGTGCTGCTCCCTAGCTAGGACCAAGGCCTGCTCTCACTAGTGCACCAGGTTCCTTCTTTCCCAGCTCAGAATTTCTCTGCACCTTCACCCAAATACTTGGCTCTCTCTGGGCACAGGACAAAGGATGCCTGGGCCAAGGCTGCAGGCTCCAGTGTGGCCCAGAGCAAGCAAGGCTGTAGTACACATATGGAGGCCCGTGTCAGGACAAGAGGGAGTCTTGGGGCTTGCAGGTAGTGCTGAGAGGGACCCGGTAGGTCAGCAGGGATGAGGGAGCCAGTCCTAGGATCCAATCAGGACTTTGCAGAGTGGTGTCAGTGGCCAGTCCTGAGGATGAGTTTCCCGTCTCTGTTCACCCCACACACAGCACTGCAGACACCGTCCTCAGTCCTGCCATTCTCAGAGTAATTACTCTTAGATTGACCTCAGAGTGGTCAGATTTCCACTTCCGGCAGTCAAGAGTGAGGAAAGTGGCATCTCTCCCAAATGAGCTGAACAACATGAATGTGGCCACCTCAGCACAGTGGCATTTTGCCGAAAGTGTGCACAGAACTAAGCTACTGCACTGCAGCTCCAGCCCAAGGAAGTGTCCCCAGCTGTCCCACCTATCAGGGCACTGAGGAAACAGCCCAACACCTCCCTCCTCAGGGGCTGGAGGTTCCTGCACTGTGACCAGGAGGAGGACAGGCCAGTGACTCCCAATGGAGCTGTGGGCCTCATGGGCCACTGGGCAGGCTTGGGAGGGAGGTGCAGGAAGTGGGAGAGCCACAGTACTTGGAGGGCTCCCTGCACCCCACCTGTGACTGCTCTTCAAAACAGCTGATATTTGAAAACAAAAATTACGCACTGTGGAGTTCATGATCCATACAGATATAAGACCAGGGCAGCTTCAGCAAGGGGGGGATGGGTGCTATATGCTTGCAGATTCTCTGCCTTCCACCTGACGTAGCAAAATATTCATTCTGAATAGCCTGGAAACATGTAACCCTAAGGCCACTGCTGACAGAATTTCAAAGAGACCTATTCAAAAGCAATAGATGAATTAAATCAATGCTAAAAATGATTCAAATAAGCAAAGGTAGAAAATGGTAAACTGAGGCCAGGGATTTAGCTCAGTGGTTTCGCTGCCTGCTGCGCAAGCACAAGGACCCGAGTTCGATCCCTGGTACCAAAAAAAAAGAAAATGGTAAACTGGTTCATAAAAAACAATAAATACATAGTAAACACATACTCAAATAGATCAATAATTACATTAAACACAAATTAACTAATTAAAAGAAATATAGCCAGATTGGAAAAAAACAATACCCAGCTATATGTGGTTTAGAAGAAACTCACTTTAAGGCCAGGGATTTAGCTCAGTGGTTCCCCCGCCTGCCTCGCAAGGGGAAGGTCCTGAGTTCAATTCCCAGTACCAAAAAAAAAAACAAAAAAAACCTTGCATTAAATATGATTAAAGGGAAGAGTTAAAAAAAATACATAATAGCATTTGGGAGGGTGAGGCAGGAAGATTGCTGTGAGTTCATGGCTAGCCTGGGCTGCATAGTAGTTCAAGACCAGCCTGAACTAGTATGGAGACCCTGTCTCAAATAAATAAATAAAATAAAAATATATGACATGGAATTATTACTCAGGATTGGGAATAGCCATATTAATATAGACAATGCCAGGTGCTGTGGCTCAGCCTGGAATCCCAGCAACTTGAGAGGCCAAGGCAGGAGGATTGCAAATCCAAGGCCAAACTGCAATTTTGCGATACCCTATCTTAAAATAAAAAGTGAGTTGGGCATGGTGGTGCACACCTGTAATCCCAGCCCTGAAGAGTTGGAGGCAGGAGAATCACCACGAGTTTGAGTCTAGCTTGGGTTACATGGTAAGTTCAAGGTCTGCCTGAACTACATAGTGAGACCCTGTCTTAAAAAAATGGGAAGTACTGGAGTGTGACTCAGTAGTAGAATGCCCTGAGGTTCAAGCCCCAGTAAACACATACATTCAAATAAAGCAGATTGCAGAAGAATCAGGATTAAAGGTACTATATAATGATAAAAGATCAGCCCACCAAGAAGACATAATAGCCCTCAGTGTGTGTGCAGCTACCAGCAGTTTAAAGTTCTTCCAACCATTCTAACAGGCTAGAGACATGTCCGCCCATGATAAAAAATTGCCAGCAAACTATGAATACAGTAGAAGAAAGTCTCCTCAGTCTAACACTGGCATCTAAAAAATATCAACACCTGAATTCCTACTTAATAGGTTGTTTGATGTCTACAAAGATGTAAAAACAATTGAATAACCTTTTCAGCAAGTAGAGCTGAAACAATTAGACACTGGTATGATTGAAAAGGCAGAGGGAGCTGGAGTATAGCTCAGGGGTAGAGCATGTGTTTGTGTGTACTCGGTATGCATGAGGACCTGGGCTCAATCCCCAGTGGAGTTCATCTCCCCAGTATGGAGAAAAAAGGAAAAAAAAACTCATACAAATGTTTATAGAAGTTCTTATAAGCACCAAAAACTGGTAAAACCCCAAATGTCCTACAAGTGGTGAACGCATAAGCCGTGGTACATCACACCAGGGGATGTTACAACGATAAAACAATAAACCATTGCTACACGAGACAATTTGGCTGAATTCCCAGGGCATTACCTGTGTCAGAGCTTGCATGGTGCATGCTTCCATCTGTGTGATGTGTGGAGAACACACCACATGTGTGGAGAAGTGACCCGTGGCAGGTGGTTATAACAGGAATGAGTTTCAGGGATCCTGGACTTGTTCTGTACCTTATATTTTGGTCATGGTTGTATGAATCCATAACTGTCTTAAAATTTATAGCACAGTACCCCTCCAAAATGCAGTTTTTCTATGTGACTATTTACTAATATTCATTTTTGGTATTAAAAACCAAGTCATCAAGGGCTGGGGATTTAGCTCAGTGGTTCCGGCGCCTGCCTCGCAAGCGTAAGGTCCCGAGTTCGTTCCCTGGTACCAAAAACCAAAAAACAAAAAACCAAGTCATCACCACTTTGTGCCCATTTCCTTCCTGTCTCATCCCTTCTTTGCCAGTACTATTTCTGTCAAAAGTGAACTCTGAGCAACTAAGTCCGAAGTTTTTCTTACCAGCCATTGATGAATGCTGTGGCATTCAATGCTTCTGACTCCTCTCTCCTCAAAGCTGTCCTCTCAGCTCTGAGATGCCTGCTTTGGGTTTTCCCTCAGCATGAGTCACTGTGAGCAGGATCCCATTTTCTGACATGAGCTGCTGGAGATTAGAGTCTGGACAACAAGCAGGACACAGTCCAGTGCCACGCAGCCCACACACTGTCCACCTGGGAGGCAGAACCCTTGAAACCTGCCTGGGGCACTGACCAAGTGGACTTTAATTTTGATTCCATTTTAATTAATTTAAACTTTAAAACCTAATACTTAATTCTGTTATTAGAAAACTACTAATTTATTTTTTCAAATCTAAATTTTACAAAATTGAAATACAGATCAAGTATTTCTGGTTAAAACCTAGCATCTAAAGTCAGAAATAAGTGCAAAGTATGAAGAAATTTTGAATATTTAGTACAAAAAGAATGTAAGATAGCTTGTAATAACCTGCTCATAGTAATTGTGTTGAAATTATATTT